TGCTGGGTCTGGCTGCTGCTGGGAAGCTCCTGGTGGTGCCGGTGGACGGGAGCCACTGGCTCAGCATGCGGGAGGTGTTGGACACGCTCCAGCAGAAGGGACACGAGGTGGTTGTGGTGGCACCTGAAGTGACTTTGCACATCAAACCATCAAAGACCTTTGTGATGAAAACATATCCAGTGCCTTTCACGAAGGAAGAGATGGATGAAGGTGTCCAAGGATTAATAAAGGATGTATTTGAAGGAGGATCTTTTCTGGAAAGAGTTATTAGACTTTATCAACGGGCAAAAAAAAACTCTGCTCTATTCCTGGCCACCTGTACCCACTTAATCCACAACAAGGAGCTCATCAGGTACCTCGAGGAGACCAAGTTTGACGCAGTCCTCACAGACCCTTTCTTACCCTGTGGGGCAATCCTGGCAGAGCATCTTTCCCTGCCTTCCGTGTATTTCCTGCAGCAAATGCCATGTCGTTTGGAATATCAGGCCACCCAGTGTCCCAACCCCCCTTCCTATGTCCCCAGAGCATTTACAGACCTTACAGACCACATGACCTTTCTCCAGCGGGTGAAGAACCTGCTCTACGACATCCCAAATTTTTTCCTCTGCGATGTTGTCTTCCAACCTTATGCAGAACTGGCTTCAGAATTCCTCAAGCGGGAGGTGACCGTGCCGGATCTCCTGAGGCAGGCTTCCATTTGGCTCATGAAGCTGGACTTTGTCTTTCACTTCCCAAAACCCTTGATGCCCAACATGGTTTTGATTAGTGGAGTAAATTGTGCTTACAAGAAGCTAAATCAGGTTGGTCACACTCTGTTTTCCCTTGTTGTTCTTGCAGGCTTTGGGAGTGTCTGAGAAGCTGAAACACAGCTTTTGTTAGAAAGGGATTTTAAACTGCTTGTGCTTTGTAGAGAGGTGTTGCTTCTGGTATCTGTGAAGGATTATCAGAGTAGAAAGATGGAGAAAGTGTTGTTTATGGAATTAGCTCTGGGAGACTGTCAATTACTTCTGTTCCCCCTCCTCCAAGGTGGCTTTGGCTTTGGAGTAGGCTGCTGGTGTGGTGCAGGACACACTTTGACTTGATGAGGTCTTCATTTACCCTCTGGCTGATTTCCTCTACAGTTGTCTTTTTTTTTCTTTTTTTTTTTTTTTCCCTAAAGAAGGATTCTCTGTGCTTTGAATTGTCATAGACTCAAAACATTTTCATCTGAAGGTCATTAGAGGCCTCTCTGAGAACCTCCTGTCAGAATATGTCCAGTTATGTCAGGTTGTTACTTTCTCTGTCTTGTCAAATTTTAAGTATCTCCTATTGTAAAGATACCTTATTGCATCCAATTAATTCCCATATACAGTTCAAGTTTTCCATGTTGCAGCTTGTGATTGTTGCCTCTTATCCTGTCACTGTCAATCTCATTTTTTCTTTAACTTTTCATATTCTCCTGCAGTCAAGCTGTAGTGCACCTGTACTGTGGCATAGGATTATCCCATTCTAGAGGCAGAACTTTGCATTTGCTTTTGCTGACCTTCGCTTTTATAGGGTCATTTTTCCAGCTCATATATCCCAAGCCATTGATGCTCCTTAGTTAATTTTTCATCCAGCATCTTAAAAATAAAGTATAAGTTACTTTATTCTTCTGAAATGAATTTTTGATTCATGTCAGCCTGGTTTTTTAAATGTGTTTTCAAATAGATTTTGTGGTTTGCAGAGTATCCTCATAGATATCCTATTTTTAATAATAACTATTCCTGTTGGGTTTTTCAGATACTTGCTTTACAAAATGCTGAGGTAAGGCTGATATTTCAGAAAAAAAACAGTTTCACATAGTAAAAGCAGAGGATTTTTAAGAGGATTCAAACTTGGCACTCAGGCTAGACAGTAAACCTATGATGGCAGAGGTCTGTAAAATCTGGAAAATCATTGCTAAAGGCACAAGGGGAACTGATAGTTTCTCCCAATATTTGTCCTATGACTAACACTGAAATGCAGCAACCTTAGAGCAAACAAAGGGAGGTATTTTTTCACACCATGCCCCAAAACCCCCCAAATTAGCCTCTTAGGAGACACAGATTTTCTTTTTTGTAGACAAACCCTCTGAATTTAAAAGGGATTTAGGGGTTTAATAAGAGGTACAGGCTGCCTGCCAGGATTTGTATGCTTACAGGAGAGATAATCATGGATTTCCTTAGCTCAGATATTTGCCATAGTGTTTCCAGATTACAGCCTTGGCACTCAGTTTTGTACTTTTGCTTGACTTTATCCTGCTATCTCACCTTTGGAATGGGCTGGACTTGTGGACTTCAATCTCTGTGCTCGTAAAATAAACACGTGGAGGCTCTTCATGTGTTGCTCAAAATCCAGTGTCACAACTTCTATGAACTTTTGCTGAACTTTTCTGAACTTTTTTTTTTTTTTTAACTTTCCTGAACTTGGCCTCAGGAGTTTGGGTTGAGGTTTTGGGATTTTTTACCTCTTTAATGTTGTTTTATGGGGTTTTGTATTAGTGTCTCACTGTTGATACACGTTTGGCTGAAATGTTAGCAGAACTTAACTAGGTGGGAGTGATTATGTACCAAATATGAGATTTGAGAGGCCTTTATGCAGGGTAAGAGTGTTTCTGCAGCTCTTGAGTTTACTACCTGAGTATGTACTGCCACCTTAAGGCTTGTTTAATGCTGCTTCACCTCATTATTTGATATCTTTTCACCAGAGAAATGTGGAAATGCAGCCCTGGCATGTTTCCTTCCCTCTGCCTCCTGTAGTTTTTGGTCTTTCAATGCTACCCCACTGCCAGCTAGAGCCACAGTTCTACTTCACCAGCTGCAGAATGGGATAGCATCAAATCATGGAACTGTTAAGGTTGGAAAAGCCCTCTAAGATCAGAGTCCAACGAATAATCCAGCACTTCCAGGTTTACCACTAAACTACGTCCCCAAGTGCCAGATCGACATGTTTTTTGAATGCTTCCAGGGATGGGTACTCCATCACTGCCCTGGACAGTCCCTTCCAGTGCTTGACAACCCTTTCCATGAAGAATATTTTCCTAATATCCAATATAAACCTCCCTGCTGATGTCTGAAATTCTTTCCTATTTAGTGCATTTTCCATAAACATTACAGTCCTTCTTGCTGGCTTTTAAGAACTCCTTTTCTTTAATAGGCCACATGGAGGACCTCCTCTCCAAATAAACATTTTAGGACATGCTTAGTCTTAATCTTGAAATAACACTTAGGATTAGCCTTGGAGTGTATTTATCACACTCAGGTCCCTTTGGCAAGGGTAGCCATTTCATGGATCAGATTTCCCATCATTTCTACCTGCTCCAAGAGAACTCTCCCAGGCCTGGAGAAACTGCTCAGGGTTCACTCTGCTCAGGAGTGCTTCGTTGGGGGGTCTAAAACAATGTTTTCTCCAGCCAGTGCTTGTCCAGGTACCATTCCCGTATCTTGCATTGCTTTTGTAAACTTGCAGACTTTTGGCATCCAGCTTTTCTCGTTCCATGTGGAATATGCCTTAATGGCAGGTGAGATTTACTTGGCTAGACCTTTCTGTCCACGAGTGTGGACTTCCACATGCCACAGCCAAGCCTTCTGAAATTTGGGAGAGGGACTGTTATTAACTTTCATATCCATTTGTCCTGTAGCCTCTCACCCTGAACTCCCATGGCCCCTCTTGAGCAAGAGCCACATATTCTGCTGCATCATTGCTTTTCAAAAAGATGTTTAGCCTCGAGCCACTCACCTGTGAACTCTGATGGCCTCTCTTGAGCACAAACTGTGATTTCTGCTGTATCACTGTTTTGCTAAAAAGATGAAAGGTGGTTGGTTAATGTGTTACCTAAACTTTGGTGACTCTGCTGCTCCACGTGCCAGCTGCTGATTGCCAATGAAGAGCATTCTCTGAACTCCAGCCACCTTCCTGAGCAAAGGTTGGTCTTGCTTATCAACAGTGCAACACAATTCTTGTGATATAAGCTCTGTGGAGTGGCCATAAATTTGATTCCCGATTTGAATCTGGCCCGGGACAGTTGAGTGCACAGTAGTGAGTCACTTGAAACAACCTTGACACAGCAAAGCCCCTCCACGAACAACTGCTTTTTCTGTTGATTATTCTGAATAATTTGAGATAACTTAAATGCATAGAAAAGCATAGGTGCCTTGATAGCACTTTAATCAAGGCTTTTATCAGCAATAAAACTCCAATAACCTGTATCATTTTGTAGAGATTAATGAAACATTAAAGTCCACCACTGTATAAATGAGGTACAAGGAGATTTTTCTTCATATGCTACTGAACAACGTAGGGAGGAGCAGCTCTTTCTTTTCCTGCCCCATGACAGTTATGGGGAGGCACCAGGTACATGCTGGGCTTGTGCTTTTCCTTGCTTTCTGGAGTCTGGCAAATGGTGGGAAGCTCTTGGTAGTGCCTCAGGATGGAAGTCACTGGCTGAGCATGCGCATGGTTCTGGAGAAACTCTGGGAGAAGGGGCACGAAATCGTGGCTGTGGTTCCTGATGCTGCCTTGTTCTTGAAAAGCTCCCAGTCCTTCACCATCAAAACATATTCGGTGCCTTACAGCCAGGAGTTTGTGGACAAATCCTACCAGGAGATGGGGGAAAAGAGCTTTGAGCCCCTAAAGCTCTCCGTTGTACTCAGCAACATCTCAGAGTTGACCAATATGTTCTCTTCTGCTTGTCGGCATCTCTTGTCTAACAAAGAACTCATGAAGTACCTCCAGGACAGCAAATTCGATGCCATCATGATGGACCCTGTGCTGCCCTGTGGGCCAATTCTGGCAGAGTATCTCTCCCTCCCCTCTGTGTACTTCATGCGTGGCCTTCCTTGTACCTTAGACTACAAAGCCACACAGGCTCCCAGCCCTGTATCCTACGTGCCCAGGACTTTCTCATCAGCTTCTGACCACATGACATTCCCAGAGCGCGTGAAGAATTTCCTGATCGGGCTCTCAGAGCCTTTGCTTTGCGACCTGTTTTATTTGAAATACAAGAACTTGGCTTCTGAGTTCCTGCAGAGGGATGTAACAATGCAGGAGCTGTTCAGCCAAGCATCAGTTTTGCTGATGAGATATGACTTTGTTTTTGAGTATCCGCGCCCTATCATGCCCAACATGGTCTATATTGGAGGCATCAACTGTCAGCAAAAGCAGCCGCTCTCAAAGGTTTGTCATTGCTTACCCTGAGGGTGGTGTTGGTGCTTGTTCAAGATGTGCTTTTTTTAAGTGTTTCCTTTGTGCTTGAGGCAGGGTGTGATCAAATCCCAGGGTGGCATGGGAGCGGGAATCAGGCTTTGAGATGATACCACAAGGCTTGCTGAAGGGTTTCTCTCCAGAAGAGCTTAGGTCGAGTTGTCACCATCACTCATGGCATGCCCTGTATCCAGGTAAATGACAAAATAATTCTAGGTCAGAGGATCTAATATCCCTAAGGGATGTGAAATTCCAGTTAATTGCCAGAGACTTGCTTGGACAAAAATTGGAAATACAGAATTAACTCTGTGGATATACCCAGACACTTTTGCTGTGCCACTGAACATGAAGCTCGGTGAAGAACAGAACATCAAGGGAGGGGGTCAGGCTGGATTTTAGGAAAAGGTTTTTCCCCCAGAGGGTGCTGGGACACTGCCCAGGCTCCCCAGGAATTGAGCATTGCCCCGAGGTTGCCAGAGCTCCAGGAGTGTTTGAACAATGCTCTCAGGGATGCACAGGGTGGGATTGTGCAGGGCCAGGGGTTGGACCAATGATCCTTGTGGGTCAGGAAAATTCTAACTGAGGGTATTCCATGATTCCATGTGCGCCAACAGCCCAAAACCAGCGGTGTGCAAAGACGGCAGAGGGAGCTCTGTTGCTTCTGGATTTGTGCAGCAGCAGTGCAAGAGAGCAAATAAGAAGATGGTTGGGAAAGGAGGCCTTCAGGATTGTAACTACTGTCTCTTGTTCAGATTTGCTGCACAAATAGTGCAGATATCCGCCGTTTGTTCTGCTTTCAGACCATTGTGGTGTTGCAACAGCAGGAGTTATTGCTCAGTACTACTGTAAATTCAGGGCTTTCACTTTGATAACTGCTGTGATAGAGCAACAAATCTGGAGACAGACCCTTACAACCCACTCTGTATCAAACCTCTGTCAATCTTTGCTTCTTGGTTACACTCAGGGGGCACAAAGCAATCCAAAGGTCAGATTTGTGCCGAGTTCTGTGTCCAATCAGTGCTGTGGACTCAAGGCAGGGGGTTGATCATTAACGGGATGCTAACGGTGTAGTGACTGCTGGGTCAGTCCCATTCATGGCTCTCATTCAGCCTCTCAGCTCCACAGGCTGTTGGTGACTCCTCCCTCCGGGTGTCAATCCAAACATTCAACTTCACCTCCTGGCACCCATTCACTGAAAGTCTTCCCTGTGCACAGATGATAAACCCAGTATTTACCCACAGTTAAAAATTACCCCAATTTCTGCCTGTTAAAAATTAAAAATTCAGCTTAGTTAAAATTCAAGTGGGAAGCACCCCACGATTCATTCCTCGTCCCCTGCCACAGTTTCACTGCTGTTAAAAACTTCCCTAGCAGCACCAGGGAAATGGTTTCTCCAAAGCCAGGATTTCTTTCTCTTGCCTCTTGGGCTGTGTTTTTCCTGCTGCTGTGGACCTCTGGTGAAGGTGGGAAGCTCTTGGTCATACCCATCGATGGCAGCCACTGGCTCAGCATGCGCCCGGTCGTGGAGAAGCTCAGGGACAAGGGACACGAAATCGTGGTGGTTGCACCGGAGATAAATTTGCGGATCCACTCATCCCCACTTTACACCTTGAAAACCTACCCTGTGTCCTACACCAAGGAGTTTGTGGAGGCAGAATTTAAACAGATGGGCCACAGGAGTTTCACACCTCAGCCCTTCTTGGAAAAGCTCTCCAAAATCGCCAATTTTACAAGCATGTTCTTGGATTCCTGTAAGCGTCTCCTGTCTGACAAAGAGCTGATCCAATACCTCAAAAGAATTAAATTTGATGCCGTCTTTATGGATCCCTTCTTCCCATGTGGGCAGATATTGGCGGAACATCTGTCCCTGCCCTCCGTGTACTTCCTGCGGGGGCTGCCGTGCAGCCTGGAATTCCAGGCCACCATGTGTCCCAGCCCTCCTTCCTATGTCCCGCGGTTCTTCACTCGCTCCACGGACCGCATGTCCCTCCGGCAGCGCCTGGGCAACCTCCTGGCCACCCTGGGCAGCTCCCTGGCCTGCTCTGTCCTTTATTCCCCCTACAATCCCTTGATCCGGGAGTTCCTGCGGCGGGAGGCGACCGTGCCCGAGCTGTTCAGCCATGCCGCTGTTTGGCTCATGAAATACGACTTTGTCTTTGAGTACCCCAGGCCCCTCATGCCCAACATGGTCTTGGTCGGAGGCATAGGCTGCACTCGGGAAAACAAACTACCCCAGGTTAGTTCCCGTTTTATCCCTGAGTTTAGCTGTGGGTGCGCTGTGAGCTCTTTCCAGGAGATGGAGCTCCTAGGCTGGAATAAATGATGCCAGGTGAAAGTGTCCAGGAATGCATTTTGCACCGCTGCATCCCGTGAGCAATGAGGGAAAAGTTACTTTGTGGGACACCTCTGAATTCCCATCATACTTCCACCAAAAAAAAAGAGAAAAAAAAGAGAGGCTTTTTCTTTTCCATTTTTTCCTGTCTGTTTCCATTCCCTTTTCCTTTTTCCCGTCTACAGCTTCCTTAAGAGAGGCAATGAAGAGACAATGAAGAGCTGTGTCAGGGCAGGGTCAGGCTGGATATCAGGGAAAGGTTCTTCCCCCAGAGGGTGCTGGGCACTGCCCAGGCTCCCCAGGCAATGGGCACAGCCCCGAGGCTGCCAGAGCTCCGGGAGTGTTTGGACATTGCTCCCAGGGATGTTCAGGGTGGGATTGTTGGGGTGTCTGTGCACGGCCAGGGGTTGGACTCCATGATCCTTGTGGATTCCTTCCAACTGAGAATGTTCCATGAACTGCAGACAGTTCAGGCAGGCCTGAAGGAAATCCCCACCGCCAGTGAAGCAGCACTTCTGTCACTTTTGTGCAAAATCTCTGCACTGTAACTGTATTTTGCTTCAACTGTGCCAAAATTCCTCAGTATGGGATACGTCCCATTTTCCATTAAGAAATCCTCCTAATTCTCTTATTTTGCCATGAGTCTCCACTCCAGATATTTTATAAAAGTATGTGCAGGTGCTGATAAAAACCGCTACTAAAATAATCTGCATATCCCCAAGGCAGGCTGCAAAGAGCTTCCTCATAGTAGAAGCACTTCTGAGCAGAAAGTCGGACCTTGGAACTCAAAAACATCTAAAAAAACCAAAATAAAACTGATGTCCCCGCAGAACATAAATAGGATTAAATATGCCTCGAGACAGCCACAAAAATATGGAAAAGAGCATAAAACTGACAGAGTCAGTCTCTGTTGTCTCTGCCCATTGCAGGGAATGAGACGATCTTCAACCCAAAGCATTCCATGGTTCTCTGGTTATCCCCTCAGATCCCAGAGATAACATGGCAGTTGCCAGACTTGCAGGAACATTTAATTCATTGTATTCCCCTTATTTAACTCTGATGCCTGCAACAATTTCCTCCAGTTTTGCCTTTCCCTCCTTGGCTCAACCAAACATTTTTCTATTTCAAAGAATTTTTGCTCCAGCCCTGGGCTGTTTTTTCTGCTTCATTGGAATCCTTTTGTTCCTGGATTCCAGTGCTAGATCTCCTTCTATTATTTAAATCACTCAAACAAAAGAGAGACAAAACTAGCAGCAGTTCAGTGTTATCATACCCAAAGCAGATACAATAAACCCAGCTATTAGAAATTTGAGTTACTTGCTGTCAGAACCCTCTTCCAGGATTTTAATTCTCTCTTGTAGCTGCATGGCCTGAAAAGAAGAACATCAGCTGTGAATCCAGGCTTGGGTTAAATGTGACCATTTTTACTTCCCCAAGACTCATTTTCTTTAGGATCATAGAACAGGTTGGGGTGGAAGGGACATTAAAGCCATGGCAGGGACACTTTCCACTATCCCAGGCTGCTCCAAGCCCCATCCATCCTCCCCTTGGACACTTGCAGGGATCCAAGGGCATCCACAGCTTCTCTGGGCAGCCAGTGTCAGGGCCTCCCCACCCTCACAGAGAATTCCTTCCTGATGCCTAACATAAATTTCCCTTTTTTTTTTGTTTCAACCCATTACTCCCTGTCCCATCACTCCAGTTCCTCATGAGGAGGAACCCTCCCTTCTCCAGCTTCTTTCTGGGCCTCTTCAGGCACTGGAAAGGGGCTTTTGTGACATCTCCACACAAAATCTTCTCTGCTCCAGGCTGAATAGCCCTGATGTTCCAGCCTATCCCCATAGGGGAGGTGGTCCTGTCTCCTTGTCAACTCCATGGTTCTCCTCTGGACTTGCTCCAATGTTGGGGAAGATGAAAATGGAAAACCTTATAAATATGATTGCCTGGTAAAAGATTTTGAGAATATGGAAACTATAAGCGAGATTGAAATGAAAGCCATTTTTGAGATTCCAAACCTTAGTTACTGAACAACTAGAAAACAATAGTGTGGCCAGCTGAAAGTGATCCCCTCTTGATTGAACAATCCCCTCTGCTTGCAGACAGGTCCATAGGGCAGAGAAGACCCTACTAGCTTGGCAGAGAGGGTCCAAAGAATAGTTTCTAGGGTTTAAAGTGTAGCACAGTCTGGTAATGTAGTGATTCTTATAGGCTGTATGTAAATGCTATAGGATTTGTATCTTGTATTAGATTGGTTAGTGAAAATTAGAATATTCAACACAGAAGAAGATTTATTGTATTGTAACGGGAACCTCGCTCTCTTATGCTGTTACTTCTCTTACCTCTTACACCCCACTCTCTTACCCCATCTTTACTCTTGCCCTCCTGCTCTCAAAGGCCTGCTCCAAGCTGGGGCTGGCAGCTCCAAGCAGAGCCTTCTACCCACGCCCTTTGCAATAAACCACAAGTTCCAACACCTGGCTTTAGAGATCTCTCCATCAGTCCCGACTGTCCAGACCAGCCGCTCCTACACTCCAACAGTCCCATATCCTTCTCATGTTGATAAGCTCGGAGATGGATGCAGGATTCCAGGTGTGGTCTCACGAGAACAGGAGAATCCCCTCCCTGCACCTGCTGGCTGAGCTGCTTTGGATGCAGAACTGTCAACAATTCATTTTCCTGGTCCTAATTTTGTTGTGCTCACTGTTCTGTTGCCTTTCCAGAGAGTTCCAGAGAGTGGAACATGGCAGCAATTCCAGCCTCTGACAAGAGAAAGGGCTTTGACTAAAGGCTTGCTTTCCTTTGGCAGGAATTTGAAGCCATAGTGAACGCCTCTGGAGAACACGGCATCGTTGTCTTCTCGCTGGGCTCCATGGTGTCCGAGATTCCTGAGAAGAAAGCCATGGAAATTGCAGAGGCCTTGGGAACAGTCCCTCAGACGGTACCAATTCCCTCTTCCCCTTCCAGCAGAGCAGCTCCACACTGCTCTCAGGTCCTCCCTCCCTTCTCCTGCTGGGATCTGATGTGGCCTTTGCTTCCCTTGCCAGGTCTTGTGGCGCTACACAGGCAAGACACCCTCCAACCTGCCCAAGAACGTGAAGCTCGTCAAGTGGCTGCCTCAGAACGACCTCCTGGGTAGGTCTGACACACCCCCAAGGGCATCATCTGTGAATTACCATCCCCTGACCCATCACTGGGGGGCACAAATTTTCCTTGCAGCCTTTGCTGTTGGAGCCAGGGCTTGTCCTTTAGGAACTTACCCAAGAATCTCCGAATTGTGAAACAACTCTGTTTGAAAAGGTTTTCCAACACTTCATTACCAGTCAATGATGGAAGTCTTTATCTCTGACTAAGCAGTCTCAACACCCGCTATGTTTATGTCCTTTCTTCTGGACTGAAAAGAAACTTCATGGTCCTCAAGGGAGCGCTTCCAGACAGGTCTTTGGGCTTTTAAAATGGTGGAATTGTTGCTAGGAGAGCATTTGTTGGTAAGAGAAGAGGTTCAGCTGTGAGAGACCTTCACTACCAAGGAAGAGATGGTGAAAAAGTAATAGATAGTAACATCTTCTTTAACCTCTCCTGGCTCTGGTTTAATCGTAAAGTTGGAGGATTACCCAAAACAAAGACAGAAGTCTATAACGTTCCAATCCCTACGTCTGGCCTGAGGGATGATGCTCACAACAGCCCCAAGTCCTTGATTTATGCCAACCACAGCCCTTTTTTATGCATGTTTTTTACCCCAGGGTCATGTTGCTGGGAGTAATTCCAGGAGATAAGCAAGCCTCTGTTTCCCTCCACAGCTCACCCCAAGACTCGTGCCTTTATCACCCACGGAGGCTCCCATGGAGTTTATGAGGGAATATGCAATGCAGTGCCCATGGTGCTGATGCCTCTGTTTGGGGACCAGATGGACAACGCCAAGCGAGTGGAGTCCCGGGGAGCAGGGCTGACCCTGAACATCCTGGAGATGACTTCCAACGACATTTCCAACGCCCTGAAAGCAGTGATCAACGACAAAAAGTCAGTACCAGAGGCACAGCCTTCCCCCTTCTTACCGTGTAACCCCAGCACGTTCACTTCCAGCTTAACACGGTGTTTTTCTCTTCCTAAATGGCTTCTTTTATCAAAAGTATGGATTTGATTGCAGCTGCTTCTGTGGAGAAGCTGATGCTCGCCCTGGGTTAACTTCAGGTTGTTCCCTTCAGGGGACAAGAAGGGACAGAGAAGAGAGGATGCAGGGGGCAGGGGAGATTGGGCTATGAATGCAATGGAAGAAATCAAGTTGCTAAAAAAATGTGTCACCTAAAGCCAAGACAGTGACAGAGAGGGCTTGGACACAAGTGGCAAACAGCTTTTGTTCCCAAACCTGTTGTGACACAGTCAGTGGGAAGCCTGAAAAGGGTTTATCAAACAAATTTTTCACTCATTTGTCTTCCAGGTGAGTTTTCTCAGGCATTTTTGCCCCGCTCAGTGCTCATGAGGAATTCTGTGAGCAGGGAGAGCTGCTCTCTGGCTCAGCAAGGCTGGACAATCCCAGCACAGAGCAGAAGGAGCATGCAGGGATGCACTGAGGAAGCCCAGGGACCACCACAGCACTGCAGTTAGCACATCCAAGGGGTTTAAAGGCAGCACAGAGATTTCTTTCAGACATAAGAGCTCTCCCCTGCTCCCATTCGAGAATGCCAAGGACTAAGAAACTCTATCACATTCCTGAGAAATGGCAGGTTATTGACATTGTTTCCTACCCAATGTTTATGGCAATAATAACAACACTACTACTAACAAAAACAATAATAGTGCAGCTGGAAAAGCTGGCCAGCTTTTCTGCCTCTTTCAGCCAGAGACCTTCACCCCAGAGATTTTGCTGAGAGCCCAAACTGAGCTTTCCTTTTTTTTTTTTTTTTTTAATTTTTGTCATTGGAAACAGCACTCCCTGGGCCTGTAACTTTGCCATTGCCATTCTCAAGGGGCTCAGTAGCACAAGAGCCTGGAGAAGCTGCAAGTGCCCCATCCCTGGAAGTGTCCTGGATGGGGTTTGGAGCAACCTGGCCTGGTAGAAGGTGTCCTTGCCCATGAGAGATGAGCTTTAAGGTCCTTCCAAACCACCCCACCCTGTGATACTGATGCCTTGGAGTGGCTACCTCCAAGAGAGGCTAGATAAGGTTAAGAGAATAAAGTCGGTATTTATTAAAAGCCTTCAAAGGATACACCTTGGGCAGTACAAGAACCCAGCCAGGGATACATTCAAGATGGATGATGGTCATGAGTTTTTCAGACAATTGTGAATTTGGTCCATTTATATATCAGGGGTTAATCCTGCAACTACAGCTTCAGGTAATGAAGTAATTTACCCCCGGTTTGCTCCTCCCCTCAATTCACTGTTGTTTACACTTTTCAGTGATGCTGTGAGAGGCTACCTAGAACTGAGGCTGGGCAGAGTTAAAGGAATAAAGTAGGGGTTTATGAAAAGGCCTTCAAAGGATTCACCTTGGGCAGTACAAGAGCCTGGCCAGGGCTACACCCAAGATGGATCATCCAAGAATGACCCCGAGTCATGAGTTTTCACACTTTTATCAGTTTTGGTCCATTTCCATATGGGGTTAATTGTCCAATCCCAGCTCCAGGTTCTGCAGTCCCATCCTCCCAGATTCTCTCCTCAATTCGCTGCTGTTTGCACTTTTTGGGCCTGAAGCTGCAGCGGTGTCCTTGGTTCTGGGGCTGGAAAAGGATTGTTCTGTGTGACTGAGCTGTGAGGAGAACTTGCTAACACTTTATATGAAGTTCAGAGTTACTAATGCAGTAGAGTCTGGAAAATATGAACTTAAATTATAACTTAAGGCATGACCGGGGCCTGAGGCAGTAGGGTGTCCTTGAGTTGCAGGCTTAGAGGGATTGTTTTGTCTGAATAAAACGGGAGAAGAGTAGCTGACAAGCTATGGAGCTTTGGAGTTACACCCTAAAGCAGTACAGTATATAAAAACGGCAAAAGCTAAAATCCTAAGGCATCAATTCCATGTTTGAACCCCCTCCCCATAAACGCCTTCTCTCGGCAGGTACAAGGAGAACATCCAGCGCCTCTCCGAGCTGCACCTGGACAGACCCATCCACCCTCTGGACCTGGCCGTGCACTGGGTGGAGTTTGTGATGAGGCACAAGGGGGCCCCTCACCTGCGCCCCGCTGCCCACGACCTCAACTGGGTGCAGTACCACTCTCTGGACGTCATCGCCTTCCTGGCGGCCGTCACGCTCCTCTCCCTCTTCATCTCCTTCAAGTGCTGCCTCTGCCTCTGCCGCAGGTGCTTCTGCAAGAAGGGCAGGACGGGGAAGCCCGCCAAGGCCAAGTCCCACTAGCACCTGGGAACGGTGGTAGGGGACAAAGCTCCTGCTCCAGGGGTCGGGGAACAGCTCCAATCTCGCTGCAATGAATAAAACACTACGATTTTCAGTCAAGGAATAATAGGGATCCTTTGGAATAGCACCACAAGAAGGGTTGTTCCGCTGATCTAATTCTAATTAAGAATGGGCCTAATTAATTAAGAATGTTAAAAATGCCTTGTGCAGGAGTGCTGCAGTCACTTGGGAAAGGTCTGAGTGTGAAATCCAAGGCCCCTGGCTCCCACCTGTCGGTGTGCAGAGGACTCTCAGTGACTTTTTCTTTTAACCTCTACCTGCAGCAGAGATGTGTAGGGATTTTGGAGGACATAAGGTCAGATTTCTGTTTGAAATCTCTCTGTAGCTGTTGTTGTAGGAGAGGCAAATGTTCTACACTCACAAATCCCATCATGCAAACCAAGCTTGATGCACATTGTCATGTGTGTTTACAAGACCCTTAACAAAATCAAGGTTTCTGGCAGGAAAGCTGCTGGAAAAGCACTGGTGTTTCCCCCAAATTCCCCATCAGGCAGATGTGCTGTACCTGGAGCTCACCTGCTGGTGAGATCTTAGTAAGCATTGCTTATAAACCCCCACAACTGATTTGCTCTTTGTAAGTGATGCTCAGGGAAAGACCCCAAACCCCAGCCCTATTAATAAACTCCAAATACTAAAAATAAAGGCTACTGTGTTTTCTGTCTTGAGAGTTATGGGAGGGAGGCTTGTTTGTTCATGGGAAAAGGGCTGGAGAAGGGACAGATTCAATCCCCCATGGTGTAAAAGCTACCTTGATACCCAAACCCCCCTTCTCAGCATTCCTGCCCCGCTGCCTGGTGACTTGGCCCTTGCTGAGAGGTGACATCCTGAGGCTGCCACAGCTCCCAGGTGAATATTCCAGGCTCAGAACTGGGGGATCCCAGTACATCAGGGCAGCACAGGTGTCCTGCCTAGTACTTGCTGCTGCTCTTTTCTCTGGCTGTTTGGAAAAACAGGGATGTCAGAGGAAGCCGTGTGAAGTTGAAGGCAGTCTCTGTCCTCAGCCTGTCCCCACTGCGGTGCCCAAATCTCCTGGACACCCGCCTGGCCCACAACCTGTCCAGCACCTTTCCTTCCCTGCTCCTGCCCACCACCAACAGAAGGAAGCCTTTCTTTGGGGTGGGCAGACTCCCCATGGTGTATGAGGCCTGACCTGCTTGGAAAATGCAGCTCCTGCAGCTCCTGAGGTGACAGCTCTGGCTGTCCCCGTGGTTCTGGTGACAGCAGTGCAGCTGGAAAGGCGACTCTGTGAGACCTCTCAGGGCTGTCACAGCACAGCCACAGAGGCTCCAGTCCTCTCTGAGCATCCCTGGCTCCCGGCAGTGTCCAAAAAAACTCCCACTTCGAAATGTCCTTGAGAAGTTCTCCAAGTACCCTGCTGCAAACTGGCTCTGGATCAACCCAGTGACTTTCTCCCCATGGACAAAGGGGAAAACTTTGATTTTCAGATCAGAGGAGGACAATTGAGAAAAAAACTATAAAAATATCCCAATTGCAGCTCCAACCCCCTTGTGCAGAGGAAGTAAAACTGAAAGGAAGTGTCAAAATGCCCATCCCATGACTTATTTCAGAAATATTTTTAACACAGCCAAAGAAAAACAACCAGAAAAAGAAACCAGGTATCCTCCTCTTCTTCCTCCTCCCTTTGCTCTCCTCACCCTCGCTGCTTTATCCCGTTCTTCATTTTCCCTTGGAGAAAGAATGTGCGGGGCCAGGGCTGGACAAGCCTCCCTGTGCCCAGCAGAGGACACTCTGGGATCATCAGCAGGCAGGAGCAGGGAAAAGGCCAACCTTGCCACCAAGCCAGCCCAGGTGAGTGGCTGGAACTCCACAGGCACTTGTTTATCCCCGCCGTGCTCCAGGAATACTGGACACTGCTGCCAGGAGAGGATTTCCACAGCCGGTTGGGAGCCAAAGCACTTGAAAGGAGCTGGATCATCAACACATCTCGGACCCCCAAATCTTCCCTGCGGGAGGGTTAATCAGGGGATGATGTCCCCTCTTATTGCCCCTTAATTGGGGACCACATAGAGCCAAAAAACAGGTCAAAGCCTCCAGCCCAGCTTCCCTTGGTGGGAGACAGAGAAATCCACAGCCGAGTCTAAAGTGCCAATGCTGAGACTGGGGCACTTCCCAAAAGGGGAAACTGAGGCAGGGCCAAGCATTGCTCCTCCCCCCAAGCTCCCCAGAGCCTCAGGCATTGCAGCCGGAGCTTCTCCAGCAAATCCCTCAAATCTCTGGGAAAAGGCAGCAGCCAAAATATCCTCACTGCCCTTGGAGAACAGGGGTACAAACGTCTCCCAACTCAGCAGCTTCGCCCTCAGAGCTGGTGATTTCTGCTCCCACCCAGGGACCTTTTGAGTGTTCATCTTATTTTTCCCTGGATTTTAACATCCAGCAAGTCTGGGAAAGAAACAGTGCTGCTTCCCAGCTCTTCTGGACTGCTCAGACTCGCCCCTGCTGCAAAATATGACCACGAAGCTCCTTGGTTTTGGGATGGGGTGTCCTGGGGGACACAGCAGCCCTGGCTCTGGGGGGAGGATGCAGCCAGCATCTCTTCCTGCTTCCCACCAGCCAGACCACGGGAAATGACAGGAATTGCTGGCATTTTTCTGCAGCCACAGGCTTTCTCAGCCTCAGCCCAGTCCTCAGGGGCAACAGCAAGGTTTTTCCACTGCCACGGGAGCTCCGGGTGGATCCTCAACCTCCCCAGTGTGGGGGTCCATGAAGACCCCTGGCCCACAAGGATACACCAGGGTGTCCAAGCCCTGTCCAGGCTGGCCTTGGACATTTCCAAGGATCTGGGGGCAGCCACAGCTTCCCTCATCACCCTCAGAGGGAAGAGCTTCTTCCTAACATTCCATCTAAACCTATGCTCTGTCAGCTGAAAGCCATTCCCCCTTAGAAATATGTCCTTATAAATAAATATCTTGGTTATTCACAGGCACAGGAACATTCCCTCTTCCTTACCTGTGCAGGGCTCCACCCACACGTGGGTCCCTTGCCCTGGACACTCTCACTTGGATGCTCACACTCAGACCTGCAATTAATCATTTAATTATTTTTTTTAATAATCTACCTTCTGGGTGGCTTTGTAAAAAGTAAATACTTACTGTTGCTGGTACCCAGCCATGGCTCCAGTTTGGGAAGGCTTTTCCCACTGTGGAAAATCATGGAAGCACAACATGACAAGATGTGGAGTGCATCCCACTTCCCTGAGGAGTGTGGATGAGAGAAACCAACCTGCCAGGAGCAGCACCAGCCTCATTTAACGAAAAACACCCAAACTCACCCCAAACCCACATCCATCCACCAAAAAAAAAAAAAAAAAAAGGGACTTCGGGATTTTAGCTGTGATGGTCCAGCCTGGGAAGAAGTGCAGGGATAATGCTGTGGGAACACCCATGGGCAGTGATCCAGAACACGCCTTGGCCCCTGCACCATCCCCCAGAGTTTCCCTGCAGCATTCCCCAGAGGGTCTGGCACTCGAGAGGTCCCATCCCATCCCTGGCACTGCCTGAGGGTGACAGGGAGCTGGCACCAGCAAGCCCAGGCACTTCTAGCCGGAGCAGCCACAGAGCCCTCGGATTAATTATCACCTGTAGAGGTGTTTTTAGGAGTTATTTATATGATGAAACCTGAGGAAAAGGGTTGCCAAAGTGTCTGACACAAAGGGCAGGACAGACTCTCCCTCTGCAGGAGGGAGCATCAATTCCCTTTCTTTTATGGAAGGATGAAAGGTCTCCTGTGCCAGATCTGATTGCTTAGGGTGATAAAAGCAAGTCATGGAGCAAATCCCAAATCCCCCAGCCAGTTCCTGCCTGGCTTACTGAACCTGTCCTCAAAAACCAGCCTGGATAAAAGGAGCAGATGTCTTCCCAGGAATGCTACCAGCATGGATTATCGATGGGGGGAGGGAGACACGGTTCCTGCTTTCCTGCTTCACTGGATGGCCCTGTGTGGGTCAGTCCCAGGGACTCGATTTGTGCTGGATGATGCCACATCCATGATGAGGCTGGAAGCTTTAATTAATGCTGGGTTGGGGGGAATCAAAGCAAGGCAGGAGCCCACATTTATAACCCAGAGGCTGCAGCCGGGCTGCTGGGGCCATCCTTGGGGGATGGGTTGGTCCCAACCCCTTGGAGATGATCTCAGCTGAGCAGGAGGGTGATTCAGGGCTGGGATGACTCAGGGAGGGGCAGGGGGAGGAAGGGGAAACCACAACCAGCGACACTCCCAACATCCCAACACCGAGTGAGGCTGTTGAACAGTAAAAAAATTACACATTCCTCCTCCCAGCCAGAGCCCTCTTCCTTTTCACTTGGACATCAGGGTCCTTCCACCCCAAATCCAGCAGCCACCCCTTGGGAAAAACAGACTTTTACATCCTTCTTTTCCCCCCTTCATTATAATGTTTATTTAAAAGCCCAAAGGTGCCATTTGTTGCTCAGAAGCCCCTGAACTCCAGCAATGGATTAAACCTGCTGAGCTGTGAAGAGGAGAGCCCCAAGGGATGCTTTGGGTAAAACCTGTTACAAAAAAAAAAAAAAAAAAAAAAGCTTTTGAAATGAGGCTTGAACTTGGCATGGGAGTTGCATTTCCTGGGATGATCATCATCTCTCTTAATTTCCAGCCATTCAAGCCTCATTTTTTTTTTTTTGTGAGGGATCAGGCCTGATTAAGTCACCTCAGGCTATTAAGGCGAAAAAAACTAAGGATCCAGCAAACAATGAAACCTAAACCTGGAACTGGGTGTGCTCTGAAGGCCAGCAAATCCCAACACCCAGGGCAGGATTCCAGGGAACCCATTGTGATCCTCACTGAAGGCGTTTCTACCACGGTTTTCCACAAAACAAACCATCCAGCCTCCACCTGGCACGGGAATATGGCCCCCAGAGGAGGTTGGATGGAGTTGGTGACAAAAGAAAAACCTGAGCAAGACTTGGGAGCAGCCCTGCTCCTCTGAGCACTCACAACCAGCTCCTGACGTGTCCTGTTAATCCACAACAGGCTTCTAGTGAAGAGCTGGGAAGGAAAAAAATCCAATGGTTTTCAGCAGGGATTCCTAGGGATGGAAACAAAGACCCGGCGAGCTGCAGGGTCTTTCATCACAGGCTCCAGATTTCCCTGCAAACCACGTTTGTGCAGAGACCCCGATAACCACGGGGTGACTTTCCTCTCCCCTCCCCTCCTGACACCTCTCCCTCAGCCTTTTGGGGCTGGATGAGCCCACAGAAGGTGATCCCTCACTTGTGATGGCTGAAGCAGAGGACAAAATGCTGCGGGGATGCATTTGCAAGGTGACCCACGCTGAAGCACTTTGCTCCCTGAGGAATAAAAAGCTGAATCCTTTCTTTCCTTGAAGCTGAAACATTCCAGGCAGCAGGGAAGAAGCCAAGGGGGAACTCTCCAGATCATCTGTCTGGGGTCCCTATTTCCCTGAGCAGGGTGTCCATGGTGGGACATCACCTGTGTCCACCCCACAGAGCTGGGGCAGGGCAGGAGGGGGCTGAGAGCCCCAGCACAAACCAGAATATTTCCCTTCCCTTGGGATCTGACCTCCACTGGGATTGGGAGCCCCACAACAGCCTTGGCTAAACACATGGGTGCTTCCTCCAGCCAGAAAACAACCAGGAAAACTCTGCCAGAACAAATCCTGCAACTTGTCTCACTTCAGGAAGGTCCCTACCTAGAGCTTGAGCACAAGCAGCAGTTTGGAAGGTGAGGTCGTTTCCAACCACTTTTCCCCTGGAGAAAGGGGGATGGAAAGGCTGAAGGGAGGAAATGAGATTGAGGAGCACTGGCTCTGGGTGTTGGCACAGCAGAAACCCCTCTAAATTAATCCCACTCTGCTTTGGGAAGAAGAGACAACAGTAGATGACATCTAGCAGGGAGCACTGGAGAGTAACAGCTTTAATTGGAATTTCTCTTTCTCAAAAACTCCTTTTTCTTTCAAAAAAGGACAATTTACAAGAAGAACAAAAACCAGATGCCACAAAATGGTGCCAGTGCAAAGCCCAGACAGATTTTTAAGAGAAGGCCTTGACATTTAGTTCAGAAGTCACCTGGGGGACACATTCCCAGCCCCAGCATGAGAGGAAGGACTGGATTTCAGACCAAAAATGGGGAGAAAATAGTGCAGCCTCACCCCACAGGCCCCAAAGCGTGCTGGCCGTGGTCCCAAGGGTCTGGGGAGGGCACAGGATGGTTTGAGGCAGCCAAGGTGGGTGTTCAGAGTCCCTGAGGCAGATGGAAAAACCAAGGCGGGGGGGTAAAAAACAAAAAGCTGGGATTATTCATGGGTCAGGAGGCTCAGACTCCTGCCCTCACCTGCTGCTGCTACTCTTCCAGTACAGACTTCTGCAGAGCTCTGGAGCCTGCCAGGAGAAGGGGGAAAGCCCAGATTGGAGTAAAACCCCAGATTTGGGTGAAACCCCAGGGGAAAGGCATCCTGCTGCCTGCACCTAGAGATCACCCTCACTGCAACGGGGATTTTAGCTCTTGCATGGAAAAATGAGTGCCTGAGGGGAAAGGGAAAGGGGCTGGGGCTGCTGACAGATCCCCTGTGCTATGGGAAAACCCCTTAAAGCCCCTCAGGAGAAATTTAAGGTGCTACTGTGGAGGGTGATTGCCTCTGGGGATAGAATTCTGGGAAGAGGAAAAGACACCATTCCCTCCACCAGATGCCTTTCTTATTCTTTTTCTTTCTTTTTTTTTTTTTTTTTTAATTAACCTGAAAAGCAAAAAATCGTCCTTTAAGAACCTTTACACATCCTCTGGTAGCAGCTTTTCACTAAAAGGAGCCTTTGCACTTAAAATAATCTTTGTGTGCAAAAATATTTCCCTCCCAGGTGAAATATTTGAAAGCTGGGGAGCAGAGGAGGAAAGGAAGTCATTCAAAAAACTCAGATTTAAAAGGAACAGGAGAAAAATAATACTGGCACTGGGTGACACAAATATTGCAGTTTTTGGCACCAGGTTTATAGCAAAGATTATTTACAAGTTACACAGGATTTGAGGAGTCTTGAAGAATTAGAAATCAATGGCAAAGAGCACCTGGAACATCCCCAGTGAGCTCAGGTTTCAAATTAGGAGGAAGAGTCTCTTTTTTCCCTTTTTTTTTTTTTTTTGTTGTTGTTGTTGGGTTTGGTTTTTTGGTTTTTTTTTGCCTGTAGAGGGATTATCTGGATAGCAACAATTCCCTCCCTCTTTTCTGGCCTCTTCCCCAGAGCAGGAGCACCTGGGGAGTTTGATTCCCTCTCACCATCTCCCTGATCCATCTCCTGAGGTCTCTGGCAAGCAGCAAACCTCCAGCTGCTTCTTCCACAGGTGTCCTGCACCACATCCAGGTGGGAAAAAAAAACCAGGAACAGGCAACTCCCTGGCCACAGACAAGAAAATCCATGTCTGCAGACATATGAAAATAACCCAAAAATCAACCAAAATGCTCACAGGGCCTGTGAATAAAACAAAACCATTAAAAGAAAAAGGGCTTTTTAGGTGCAAGGTGCTGCTTGGGCGGAGCACATCCCAAATCCGGGGACAGCCCAAGTTCCAGTGGTGCTCTAGGGCACATCTGGTAGCCCAAAATCTGCCTGTGGTTGGGGGAAAGGGCATTTACTGTGCTTCTTCTCAAAATATGTATTTACAGTCCTCATATTTATCTCAAACCCCATCACTTCAAAGAAGCTTCTGCAACCTAAACCCAGCCACAGCTTCCCCACCCCTCTCCAAAGTGGTTACAACTCTTACTGCTCGTTACAAAAATTAGACTTTTATTTGTAAATGCCTAGAAAACGTGATCTCTTTTGGGATCCCTCCCCACCCCTTGCCCTCTTGAAAGGTTCTTTTTCTGTAAGAAATAGTTTAACTGGATGAAAAGCCATCCTCCCCTTCCAGATGAATTCCCATCCAGGTGAGATATCTCCTGCTGATTTACAGTCCTGGTGGAGAACTTGCAAACTTTGGCCTCTTCAAACCCAGAGGAGAGCAACCTCCACTTCTTCTCTTCAAAGTCAACTGCTTAAGAAAGGGGGGCAAGGGGAAAAGCACAGGAAAAAAAAAAATTCTCAGCCGAAGAGAAGTTGGACAAACAGGGGCTAGATGGCAAAATCCTCGTGGTCCTGGGGGCTGAAGGCAGCTGCCCTCAGCATGTCCAAGGAGTTGACGAGGATCAGGGTGCCTGTGAGGTGCTTCCAGCGCTTGGTGATGGGGTTCTTCATCTTGTCCAGCCCCGTGTGCAGCTCCTGGATGACGTCCCTGTAGCTGTCCCCCATCTGGCTGCTCCAGGTGAGCAGGAAGTCGTACGCCGGCTTCCACATGGCCTGGGGACAGGGGGGGACAGGGATCAGAGCTCAGCCAGCATCCCAGAGCAAGCACATTCCCAGAAAAGCAGCCCCTCCCCAACACCCTCGGATCCCTGTGATCCTCCAAGAAGAGCGCGGCTCCAGGGGGATCTCCAGAGAAAACATGGAATTCATTGTTCGGCTTGGAAAGGCCCTTAAGGCCATTGGGCCCAACCACTGACCAGGTATTGGAGCCCTGGGAATTTTGAACTTTCTGTGCTGACAGGCACTGACCCCCCAAGGAAAGCACTGCTTGTGACCTGAGGCCGTGCAGAAGGCTCCCAAAACTAAGTGACAGAAATGGGATCTCGGCTCTGTAGTTTGAATAGAAGTGTGTAATACCACATGGTGGGAAATCTGGAATTTAAAGTCTTAGAATATAGCAATATATAGAAAGCAAGATGGAGGTTTTAGGGTGGAGATTTTAGGGTAGAGGCTTTGTCTTTCTTCTTCATGGGTCTAGGTGGTACTTCTGTGACTGGATAGAAAAATCCACATTGCGGGTCACAGGTGATTAGTTATTGGGTTAAAAGTAAAAATAATTTAGGTGGTTTGTTCTTAATTGGACCATTTAGCCTTAAAAGGCCTTGGAGAGAGAGAGCCAGTAGCCATTTTTTAGTTTGCTATCTAGAAGTGCTGCAGCACTCACTGTAACACAGATAAGAATTAACAAACATCCGAGTCCGAGCAAGAAATCCCCTCTCTCTCGTGCACCCAATCCCGACCCTGGCAAGGAGAAAAAGAAGACAAAACGCAATAACCAGGCGGGCCCGGCCGTGCTGGGCCCAAACTCGAGCTTGGCTCAGTGCTGGCGGCCTTTTCCAGCCGGGAAGAAGGCCGGGATGCGGCGCTCACCTCGCTGTCCAGCGCGCCAGCCTTGTCGCGGTGCGGCGCCTCGTAGGCGTCCATCTGCTGCCTGGACACCTTGGCCAGCTTCTCGGCCAGCTCCCGCCAGCGCTGGGCCACCTCCACGGCCGTGGTCAGCAGCACAAAGTCCTGGATCAGCCGCACCACCAGCCCCTGGCAGTCCATCTTCAGCAGCGCCTGCAGGACACGGCGGGGGAAAAGCAAAGCAGGGAGTCAAGGATGGGGAACTCCCAGCGGGAGCATCCCAAAAATCCTCCTGACTCCTCTCTGGAGACGGCTGGGGGAATTAGGCCACCGAGCTTGGCAACAGAATGATCTCATTAATTGTACAAAACGCTCTGGGATGGGGTTTGCAGCCTCATTCTCCAGGCATCCCCTCCTGAGGTGTCCAGGCACCACCTTAAGCAGTTTAAAGCATCCCAGGGGCTGAGGACAACAGATGCTTCTAATCAAGAGAATTAATCCAGACTCCATCCCAGAGCTGCAGGATCCATCAGAGCAGTGGTCAAGGGACAACCAGGACATTTTGGGATGGGACCTGGATATCAGCCCTGTGAGAGGGTGGACTGGGGTAAGACCAGGTGAAGACTCTGACGCTGCATCGCTCAGAGGATGGGATGCTCTTCCTCTTCTCCTCCTCTTCCTGCATCATTCATTGTCCTAAAAGCCGAGATTTTCCACAAATGGTTTTGAAGTGGAAAGAGCAACTGCATCAGTCCAGGTTTTCTAGGTAGGAATGAAAAAAGTCCAGGCAAAAAAGGATGCAGCAGGCTTAGCTCCTGCCTTGAAGTGTCAAATCACATAAAAATCCCCTCAGTGTGGGATGAAGTTGCAGTAGGGAGAACCCCAGCGCAGCCCTGGAAAAGGAAGGGTTTAGTGGCAGTGTCCAGTCTCATAGGATGGGATCTGACTGCCAGGATCATCATCCCACTCCCCAGGGCTCCCACAGCCTCTGCCAGAGTCTCTGGACCACAAGAGTCCCAGCAGCAGCAACCCCAGACTTTGGGCAAATCCCACCCTGGAAATCAGGAGGGGGATTGATGTTATTAAAAATGGAAATCAAGCAAACAAACCTCACCCACCCCTTCACAGCAGCATGGGGACGGTTCTTTCAGAAATGATAAGGTGGCCAGAATCTACCTCAGTCCTGCATCCTCTCCCGACACAGGGGTCTGGGCAAACCCAGGTTTGGCTCTGGGGCAAAGAAGGGTTAAATCCTCCCACTGGAGATTGAGATTGCACGGGGGGACAGTTGGGGGAGGGAAGATGGGAACATCTGAAACCACTCCAGCGATTTGCAAAGCAAATGAGTGTTGATTTCCCCCTTATCTGCTCCCAGCTCCGAGCTGAGCTGGGTTCTAATCACAGCTGCAGCCCAGCACGTGCCTGCTCCTCTGGAGTGCTGACACTGCTTCCTGTGGGAGCCAGGGAGGCCATAAACCCCCTTGTTCAACAAGCAGGGAAAATCCATGCAGAAGAGCGCTTGCTTGCCTTTGCAAAAGGACGTTCAGAAATGCTTAGACTTCAGGCACCTGCGCCAGAACCGCCTCCTCTCCTGCAGCCCATGGATCCAGCTCCCCCTCTGCACTTAAAATAACCTTCCTGTGCAAAAATATTTCCCTCCCAGGTGAAATAGCTGAGAGCTGGGGAGCAGAAGGAGGAACGGAAGTTGTCCAAAAAACTCGGATTTAAAAGGAACAGGAGAAAAATAATACAGGCACCGAGTGACACAAATATTGAGGGATCCAAGCACCTTCTCTGCAGGCAAGGGATCCGGGGGGTCCTAAGGAAGGGGCAGGCTGAACATCCTCAAACCTGCCTTCTCCAGGCAGCTGGATCTCAAGGCCAGGCACAACCTGGCATTTGGGAGAGCGGGGTGAAGGAGCTGCTCTCACCTCCTGCTCGAGGAGCCGGGAGTGCTGCAGGGCTGGGAAGGATGGAGCTGCAGGAGATGGATTCTCCCGCTCCTTCTGCTGCTCCGGGTGAATAACAAAACAGCAGCGAGGAAAACACCCGGGAGGCCACCTCATCAAGAACTGCATAGTCACCCAAAACCAGGACTCTGGGAGAGATGGATCGCTTCGGAGTGCTGCACTGAAACCAGCTGCCGTGCCCTGGCAGCTCCAGTGCCAGGGGCAGAGGTGACAGGACACAGGGACAGCACCAGAGCCACGTGGGAATGGGGTGCAAGGCATCACAGAGGTGGCAGACAGAGGGGGAATATTACTGGAAATGGGCGAGACACTGGGATCAGCTCAGCAGGCTTAATCCTCCAGTGGGATTATGCCACAAGTTTTTCCTTCCTCTTCCCCTGCCCTGGACAAGCCTCCCAGGATAGCTGGGTCCACTCACTGCGTCCCCATCCCTCATCACCCAGGTGTGACCTGGCCTGTGCTGTGCCAGAGCCCTTGGAACTATTTATTATTTATTCCTCTGGGAGCAGCTGGGAACCGGCTCCTCCAGCAAAGAGGGTGTTTGATATTCAAATCCCAGTTCAAAGCAGAAACACCTCATCTTAAAATGCATCCAGGAGAGGCTGAATTTACATCCCAGCTTTGAAATGCAGAATCCCATTTCCTCATGAAGGAAAGCAGCATTGTGGAGGAAAACAGCTCCCCACTGGGACTTCCTCAAACACGGGGGATAAAGTCCCCAAGGAGACCATGAGATGCCACAGGGTGAGAGGATGCTGGTGCACGTGCTCCTGGCTCATCATCCTCTCCAGGACACAGGTCAGGTTTTGACCCAAAAAAGTTGTCTCCTTACAAATGTTCCCCAAAATAATCCTTGTTTAGCCATCAAACATCTCTTTTGCTCACTGTTCTGGCTGTCACCACCTCCAGAATCATCTCGCACATTTAAAATACACTCTCTCAGCCCTAAATACTGATTTGTTTCCTTTCACCTCATACAGTCATGCACTGCCTCCACGGGGTAATTCCCTTGGACATGATGAATCTCAGCATGCTGAGGGTGGTGAGGCCCTGGCGCAGGTTGCTCAGAGATGTGGCGTCACATCCTTGAAGTGTCCAAGGCCAGGCTGGATTCATTGGATGGGGGGCTTGGAGCAACCTGGGATAGTGGAAGGTGTCCCTGCCCACGGCAGGGGTGGAAAGGGATGGGCTTTCAGGTCCCTTCCAACCACAAGCAGAAACTTTTGGCAGGAGACAGGCAGCACATGGATACCTGGATACCGGGAATCAGGGCAAACAAAACAATGGGAGAGGAAAAAAATATCCCAAGCTCATCTCCTGTGTGACCTTTACAAGCAGTCTGGAGAAGAACAAGCTCATAGTTTCCTCTGCACAGCTCCCTGCTGCCGTGCCAGGGGCCATTCCCAGCAGACCCGTGTTTTTCCCAACAGCAGTGTCTGCTGGAAGGATGATAAACGAGTCTCTCATTTAGCCAGAGAGGGAGAAATGCTGTGTCTCAGGGCAGGTCTAAACCCACGGGACAGGCAGCAGGGGCAATGAAATCTTCTTGAACCCATGCCCAGCTTTTTTATCCAAGCCATCCATGTGCTGCCTGCTTCTGACAGGCAGAGAGGAGGGAGGGAGAGCTTTCCCTCTCTGCTGAGCAATTCCTGAGCCACATCCCCCCGAGTTACCTTCACACTCCAGTGCTAGTGCCTGATTAGAAAAAGAGTAATTAAAGGCAGATTACTGATTAACCAGTCGTCACAGCCAGGCTTTTCCTTGCTTGGCTGCTGGTGCACGACTCTGCCACTGGCGTTTTGTGTACTCAACACCGATAAACCTGCTCCTGCTTTTCCCTTCCCAGTCCTTTTGGGGGGAGACAAGCAACTTTCAGCTGAAACGGCCACACTGGTGCTTAGTGCAGCTGGTTCTTCTTGCCAGAAAGCCAGTCCATTTGTTACAAATAAAATCAGATTCAAACACAATAAAATCCATTACTGCTCCATTGCCATCCCCTGAAACATCATTATTCTCTTCTTTCAACGGGCTCAATCTAATTTCTCCATAGGCTAAGGAGGATTTGACGGCAGTCAGGGGTTTGGAAGCAGCATCATGTTCCACCAAGAAAGGAGCTCATCCTTTATCCACAGGCTCAGCCTCACAGAGAGCAGGATTAGAGAAACAGGGAGAATAAAACCTGCCCTGGGACTCTGCTCTCCAGGCAGCCACAGGGGAGCAGGATGTTTTCCTGCAGCTCCCAGTCCTCCCCTTGAGCCAGCAGCTCCCTGAGCCTTATCTTTCCCTTCGTCTCCCCAGTGAGGATTCTCCATGACCTACAGACTGTCTGGGATCCCTGGAAACAATGGGGACAGATAAAAGCAGCACCTACGGGCTTTGCAAAGAGGTAAAGCAAACAGCACAAAGCTCCCGAAGCATCCAGCAAGAGCAGCACTGATTTCATCTCAACATTCACCGAACCTGGTGATTACAGGAACAAACCCTCCCTTGGGGGAAACACGGGGGCCAGAGGGGGGGATTTCCCAATTCTGGATGAGGAATGGGTCACCTGTTGGCCAGGAGAACCCTGCAACAGAAGCAGTGCTGAAAGCTGAAAGGTCAAAGCTAAAGTGTCACCCCACAGGCCCCAAAGTGGTACCTGGGCACAGGGAACTCTCCAGACGACATTTCCGTGAGTAACAATGGATTCCATACTCCTTCCACTCAATCCTTAAATTTCCTCCTTTTCCCTAAAAGGAGTGTGGGAACTAAACTCCCTCATTCAGCTCCAGTCCCCTTTTGCCATAATTTCATTTTGCCAAGCAAGGCTGCTGCTATTCCTTAATCCAATTGACATTTTAAACCATGCTGTTCTCCTCAACTCCGTTATCCTGCTCCTGTGGGAGGGTGGGGAATGGGAGAGAGCTGCAAATCTCTTCCAGACATTTTGCCCTGTATTTTCTTTGGCTCGCCTCCTATGAAATGCTAGAAATGATTGTGGAGATGAAATTTCGTGAGGGATTTACTTGCTAACGGCATCCTAGAAATACTGGCAGGCAGTGCTCCTCCCAAATTCCTTTCAGGACAAAGAGCAAGCCATGCATTTCCATTTGCAATGTATGAAACACCCCAGCTCAGAGGTGCCCTTGGATTAGCCACCACGCAAAAAAAAAAAAAGGCTCCCCATCCCTGAAAGTGTTCCAGACCAGGCTGGACAGGGCTTGGAGCGACTGGGGACAGTGGAAGGAGTCCCTGCCCATGGGCAGGGGGTGGGACTGGATGAGCTTTGAGGTTTCTTCCAAGCCCAGCCATTGTGCGATTCTGGAATTCCAAGTACCTCAGCGCATTGCTCGTTATTGCCGTGATCCTGCTAAACCGAGTGCCCACCAACCACGGGGCTGGACTCCCACCTGGCAGTGCCCAGCAGCCTTCAAAGGACCTTCAAGACAGACTTCACTCTCCAAAGGCTGAATTAAGGAACTGCCACCTCCCCCGATCCCTCTGCAGAGCCAGGAACGAAGCCCCGCTCCGCCGGGCCTCAGACTCACCGTCATCAGCTCCTTCTGGAAGGATTTCCTCTCCTTGTTCTCCACGCTGTTGCAGTCTTCCTTCAGCTTCTCCAGGACGGAGGCCACCCGCTCCGGCTCGCTGTCCAGCTCCGCCCGGCAGAAAAACGTCAGCGGCAAGTTCAGGTAGCCCAGGGCGTCGGCGAAGGAGCGCCAGCTGCTGAGGTTCTCCATCAGCAGAGTCCTCACCGAGGCGTAGATGTAGGTCAGGAACTTGCAGGGCCTCAGGATCTGCTCCAGCAGCAGGCTGGTGGTGAGATCCGGCCCGGAGAAGTAGCTGGGCTTGACCTTCCCGACCACCAGCACGTTTTTGGTGTGCACAAGGCCGATTTTCCCCTGGTAGTAGCCGATGTACCACTCCTTGGTCCACAGCTGGCCTTTCAACCTGATCTTCTCCTCACTGAGGAGGGCTATGACATCTCCCTTCTTGTACTCCAGCAGATAGTGGTTCTTGCTCTGCCTCACCACCGTCTTCAGCAGCTTCCCGTACTTGAGGCTCAGCACCGGCCGGTCCTGAAAAACCGGGTACTTGGCGGTGGCAGCCAGAGGGGAGAGGATGATCTTCCCCACCTCGTTCTTCTTGAGGAACCGCCTCTGCCCCGTGGGTTTGATGGCGCTCTTCGGAGGCGGCTGCGGCGTCTGGACGCAGAACTGGGTCAGAATGGCATCCTGGTCGTCCTTGACTTGTATCCTCAGCGTGAAGTCTGAGAGCTCGTTGGGGTCGTGGGAGGCGATGGGGAAGATGAGGCGGCTGACCTTGCCCAGCTTCATCTGGAAGCCCCGGACGATCTTGGCTTGCTCGCTGGCCTTCACCTCGTAGTTGGTCATGTTGGAGAACATGCAGAGCTTGAGGTCCTGGGGCCGGGACAGGGCAAACTGGTGCTTCCCCCAGAGCTGGAGGGCGACGGGAGCCGGGCTGTGGGACTGCCTGGTGACCTCGTTGACCAGCAGGGTCTTGGGCGCGCACTCGTGGCCGAACATGGCCACCACGGTCTTGAAGGAAGGGTGGATGTGCTTGGGGCCGTAGACGCCCACCGTGATCTTCTTGCTGATGTAATCCCACACGGTGTAAGGGTAGAGGATGTTCTGGCCCTGCGCCACGGCCGCCACGTACATGCAGGGCTCCAGGTTCTCCAGCTGCACCTGGATCGTGTCCCCGTAGGAATAGCTCAGCTGCATGGGCGTGTAGGGCCCCTCCTTCATGTCGCTGCGCAGGCACTGCAGCCCCACCAGGCTCTTGCTCACGATGTCGCTCTTGACCTCCGCCGACACCTTCATCTCCAGGATGATGAAGGTCTTCACCTCCATGTTGCTGAGCTTGATCTGCAGGACGGGGCTGATGGTGCTGCACTTGTCGCTGTTCAGCTCCAGCGGCGGGTCCAGCATGGCCTTCATGGAGATCTGCTGCGTCTCCCCGGGGCACACGTGGCCCTCGGGCACGTGGATGCTGATGTTGGTGTCCGGCAGCTGCACGGCCCCGCCGGAGCTGTCCAGCTTGCACACGATGTTGGTCTCCACCGGCTGCGTCTGACCCCAGCCAGGATTTTGGCCAAGCAAATCCAAGTCATGGCAAGACCGAGCCAGCTTCCTGTGGTTCAGCCACGCTGTCCTAAAATCCTCCCTGCTCTGGAACTGCTCGGGGGTGGGAGACTTCAAACCGCTGAAGAAACCCGACGATGCCGGCGCGTCCGACTTGGCCTGGAGGACGGACAGCTCGGACAAGCTGTAGGAGCGTTTACTTCGGAAGAAAGGGTTGTCCCTTCTCACGGGCTGGTCCCCATCCAGCCTGTTCGTGGAGGGAAGCTCGTCAAAAAGGTTCCCCAGGCTGCTGTTGGCAGCCAAACTGGGAAGAGCCGAAGTGGGAGCCCCCGTGTCGAAGAGCAACAAATCCACGGCGACGCTGGAGTCGGACTCTTTGTCCGAGCCGGGCGCTGCTTGCAAATTCCCGTTCAGGAACGGGTTGGTCTGCGCTCCGTTCAGGAAGGGGTTGTTGTGGAAGGATTTGGCAGAGTTTCTCTTCACATCAGTCCATTCCCCGAGCAGGTCCAGCTCCTTGGCGCCCTCGTCGGGGCTCTCCAGCAGATTGTCGATCACCCCGCTGTCCGTGAGGGAGGAGTTGCGGTGGCTCACGGGCTGCACATAGGAGGACGGGATGTAGCCCATCTCAGTGGTGTTGTGGGCGTACCACCACTCCCCTCCCGACGTGTCCAGCACGTACAGGTGGTCCCCCTTGGAGAACTTCAAGGTGGTGAAATTTGTGGGGCAGTAATCCTTGATTGCCACGACTTCCTTCGTGTTCCCGAAGGACGTGGGATTGTCCACCAGCAAGGCACTGGGAGAAGGCACTGCAGAGGCAGCACTGTGAGAGATGCACAGCAGAGTCACCAATGACTAGGAATCCTTTATTCCAGGTCACCCCTCCAGGCTGTTTTAAGTCTTGGGAGCACCGAATCATTAAAGTTGGAAAAGACCTTCAAGACCATCGAGTCCAAGCATTAGCCCAGCATGGCCAGGTCCACCACTAAGCCACGTCCCCAGGTGCCACATCTATGTGTTTTCTGAACACTTCCAGGTCCACTAATTCCCTGGGCCAACCTCTCAAGCCTGCAGGTATTTTTCTCCATAAAATTTTTTTCAAGAAAACTCTACTATTTCTGGTACATTCACCCCTCTCTTCCCTGAAGGGTTCATCCAAACCCAAGATAACTCTCCCTACAGGCTAAAAGCCCTCTTGCTCTGCTCTAACCCCTCTCCTGCACATGCCCAGAGAAGCTGTGGCTGCCCCTGAATCCCTGGAAGTGTTCCAGGCCAGGTTGGATGGGGCTTGGAGTAGCCTGGGCTAGTGGAAGGTGTCCCTGCTTTCAGGTCCCTCCCAAGTGAAACCATTCTGTGGTTCTAAAGGTTACCCAGTTTGAACCCTCAGAGAATCCCAGCACCTCCCTCCCACACTGCTGCTCTGGTCCTAGCAGCATCTCCAGCCCCCCTTGCAGAAGTGCCAGTGGAAGAGTTTCTTGCCAGGGGATCCCAATTTACATCCAGGCTGGGTTGAGCCTGCGCTGCCACCCTATTTCTTGACTTTGCTCTCATTTTCAGGACGTGTTTCCGTAAAAAGAGCTAAAAACAAGCTGCAGATGATGTTCCATCAATGGATGAATGTGTGCTGTCTCCCTAGACAGACTGAAGAAAACAAGAAAAGCTGGATTTTCACCAGCAGGGAGCTGCAAGGGAACTGGGACAGCACCTGCTTCAACAGGCTCGAGAGCACTCTGGGAGGAAAAGGGAGTTTAGAAAACACAGGAAGCCCTTAAAATCCCAGAGACAAAGGGATGGGACCTCAGGCTGCACATCCCTGCAGCCACCACTCACAGGCTGGCAGCACTTCTCACCCACGGAAATAACAAGGCAAAGGAAGATACAGCTGAGCAAAGAGAAGCCTTTGCACACAGCCTAGGGATGGAGCACTCGGAGGAGAAGAGTTTTGCATACATGCTGAACAACTCATCTGCCAGCAGGCAAAGGCACGAGGACATGCATCCAATGGGAAACTACACAGAAACTCCAAACTGGAATTATTTTGGCAGCCTGCTAGGTTGGAAGCCGCTGTTAACTCAGCCATCCTGCAGGATGGAGCATTTTTGGTGTCAGCTCAGACAGGCAAGTGGCTGCTTCTACAGCCCTCCAGCTGGGCATGCAGGGGTTAACAGGGATGTGCTAAAACCCCTTGGAGAAGAGGAGCAATTCCTAGTTTTGCATTAAAGCCCATCTAATTTTCAGCAAGTGTTTGATGTTCAGGTGCTACACCTGCAAAAACAATCCCTTTTGTGCCTGTTTACTTTCAAGGCCCTCAGCGCTCTCCAGATTCCACCTGGAGATTTTTCCTTGGGATGCTCTCCCGCCAGGGGAGCTGTAATTCCCCTCCCACCTGACCACGGAACACACAGCAGGGGGGAAAAAAATATAAAAAAAGGTGAGGAAAAAAAAAAGGATTATTGGAGGAGCAACCTGCCAGCTCTCAGCACTGGGGACAGGGAACAACCTTTGTCACTGGGCCCTCCCAGGGGCTGAGGATGGGGCTGGAAGGAGGACGGGGGTGCTCCCCACGCACCTTTGACGTCGCAGAGCGTGGTTTCAGCAAAGCCCTCGCCCAGGTCGATGAGCGTCCCCTCGGACCTGCAGCGCGGGAGCCCTCCCGAGTTGGCCGCCCGGATCCTCTGCGCTGCCATCTCCGCTCCCGGCGGGCACTACATGGCCAGGGCCTCTCTGCCGGCGATGGGGAGCCCGGTGTCACCTCGGGGAACCTGCCTGGGGGACAGAGACACAGGCCAGGGTGTTAGCAAGGCTGCGGGACCCCCCCGTGCCGCCCACACACTGATCCCGTGGTGCCAATACAGGAGAGCCTGTCCTGTCCTCCTTAAACCACCATGGAACACAACCTGGCTGCTCCCAGGAAAGGGGAGCCTGTCCTGTCCTCCTTAAACCACCATGGAACACAACCTGGGTGCTCCCAGTACAGGAGAGCCTGTCCTGGTCTCCTTAAACCACCATGGAACACAACCTGGGTGTTCCCAGGAAAGGGGAGCCTGTCCTGTCCTCCTTAAACCACCATGGAACACAACCTGGGTGCTCC